AATTCTCCCCTCGAGAAATTACAGTCACCGAATCTAACTTCCTTAGAGAAATCACCACTCCATCAGATCCTTGATCATATGAAACCTAACTATTCCTTTGTGTCGTCATCCTACTAGTCTTCATCAGTTTCATAACAAACTGTCACATATACGAAAATAGTACCGTATGGATAATCTTTCCACTAAGCAAGTTTCCAGGAAAAATTAGAGGAGTCACACCGGTCCCGTTTAAAACCCAATCTCCTAGACAAAACTTCTTAGGTCATATCTATCCATCGTACTATCTTTTCATATATACAACCATTTGCTAGCTTTGTCGCGACTTTCTTTTACAAGTGATCTGGGGTATCCTAATTTTATACTTGATTTCTCAACATCTAGCGAGACTACCAGTGCTTAGATTCGTCAAGATTGGTCTTCAATTCGTATTTTCCAATATTCAAAATCAGTTCCATCAAATTTTTTAATTTCCCGCAAACTTTATTTCATCAGTCATTTTTACTCTTTCTCCACTTCGAATATGCAAAATCTAACCTTATAGATGTGTCCGGAATGGCCAAAAAAGTTGGAAACGACACTAAGATCACCCAAATCGGACTTTGGATTGCTAAGATTTAAACAATCAAACTTTGGGATCATTAGACGTCGCAGATGACGCCATGTGGCATAAGGAATAGTTGTTGCGCCAAACTAGATCAAAACCTAGGGAGCTGACATGGCTGTGATGACGTGTCAGCCACGTAGGACATATGGGGTCCACCAAATCTGATGTGGCAGTCCCAGGTGGATTTTGAGGTGACGTGGTCAGAGTGCTGATGACGTGGCAGTTCGACTGGTCAGAGTGCTGATATATCAGGTGACATGTCTGATGACTGTGCAGAACTGCTAACGTGGACAGTCGCCCTGCTGGCGGGTGCGACGGTTTTCGATGTCCGATTTTGATGCAGTTTTCACTAATGGCTTTATCTCTTTCTCCTTTACACAGTGGTATGGTCAAAACATAATTTTTACAACTTTCATTTTTGAGCAAAATCAAACACCACTTTAAACCATGTGCTATGATACCAATTGCTGGGAATTCTGACCGGTGATGTACTGATATTTGCTCATAGGAGAGCCAAGCACACTGACACAATATTTAACGTGGTTCGGCAAAACCGTCTACATCCATGGGAGAAGTCAATATATTTAGAGATAGAGAAAGAATACAAAACAAATACATGGAGGAGGAGGATTACACCCTCTCATACTCAACTCTCAACTCTCAACTCTCTTTGCTGCACTTGCAGCTGCTGCAATGGCAGCAGGGCTGCTGCCATTGCAGCTCTCTTTTTTTCTCTACTCTCTTCACATTCTCACAAAACTCTTCACACATTTTGCTCTATTACATATGCCTCTATTTATAAGCATTCATGGAAGCTTTACTTCAACAAAGAAGGCTGCCAACTCCAGCTCTTCTTCAACAATGGTGGCTGCCAACCTTTGACATCTTGGATGAGTGCACATGGTTGGTGCAATAGTCAATGGTTGTTGCACATTAATGACAACCAACCTAACAGTTACGCCAAACACAAATGGCGAAAAGGACATTGAAAAGAACTTCACTTGAAGCAGTCCTATACTAGGTCTGACGTGGATGTCTGATATCCATTTGACCCATTAATTTCGCACAGGAGTGTTCATTGATGATTATACCATTTATGGTTGCTAATTATAGAGTCTGACCTGTTATCAATCTGGTTGCTGTTCACATTTTCACTAGCTAATTTTGTTATTTTATATTTTTATATTGATAGACTTCCGTGGTTACAAGCCTGTTAACAGAAGAAATTGCAGTGACATTCTTTTGGTTATCTACTCAACTGGGCATCAAATAAACATTTTAGTTTTCTATTTGCAACGATCAATAAGGCCCTGTGATCTGTTGGAGGGCTGTTTAAGAGGATGAGATAGATTTTCAAGATAAAAAAGAAAATGTAGATCATGTTGAAATTTATTGCCTTAAGTTGCTGACGTGTTGCTTGAAGACCAGTTCAGCTCACATGTTGTTTTTATTTTTGCTAGAATAAAGGATTGAACAAGTCCTTAGGTGAATTGTTAGTAGTGGCGAAATGTAAGCCAAACGTGGCAGTAGTGTTGCTTAATTTTAGTTTTTCTGTTTATTTTCCTTCTATAAATCAGTGTAATTGATTGCTGTAAAAATGAGCAATTATCCTTATCATTATCCAGTTTTCATGTAATAAACATCCCCTGTTCAAATTCAAATTTCTGGTGTTGATCTACAGTAACAAACAGTCACTATAGAGATTAAAGTCTTTTATTTTTCTGCTTCTCGGTTCTTCACTTATTCTGCAAAAGTATTTTCAATTGGTATCAGAGCTTATTTCTTGAAGGGTCTGTAATGGATTCCGAAACTAACTTCTCTTATATCTCAACTCCAATCTTCAATGGAGAAAATTACCAACTTTGGGCAGTACAAATGGAAACATATTTAGAAGCTATGGATTTATGGGAAGCTATTGG